CGTAGAGGCTAGAGGAGAGCGACGAGTGCAGGGGGGACACAGAGGCAGCTGTGCCAGGCTGGGGAAAGCATCGGAGGAGCCAGGGAGCCCCTTCTAGCCTCCAGCTCGTCTGGAAACGGTGTGTGGCTGCGAGCGGGGTCGTGTTGTGGGGTTCTGTTGTGTATGGGAGCAGGGGGCAGGTGTCTCTGCAAGTCCTCTCGCTCCTCGTTTTCAAGCTGCTGTTAATTTCCAGCAGGAAAAGCTGCGTTTCCCTCTCTGCCCATGGATGTGAGGCGCGGGGGCCGCGCTGGCGGGTCCCTGTCTGGGTTTGTGGCTCTCTTTCGCTGTACAATGCTGAGCCCGCACCTTCCGGGGCGGTTGGTGTTTGTAAAGCGCTTGGGTGCCGGCAGCAGGTAAATGGGAGCATTGGTTGCAGCTGGAGGACGATGAAGATGATGATGATATGGGGGACCACGATGAGGACCACCCTGGGATGGAGGTGGTGCTGCACGAGGATAAGAAATATTACCCCACCGCCGAGGAGGTCTACGGGCCCGAAGTAGAGACGATAGTACAGGAGGAGGACACGCAGCCTCTCACTGGTGAGTGGTGAGGAAGCGGTGAGTCGGGTGTGGAGGGAGGAGAAGACTCTTAATAGATTCCTGGAAAAGGGAAAATCATATTCCCCTCTGGTCTTCCCATGGGTTTTAATGCCCCTTTCGAATTCTCTCTCAGCCCCATGACTCTTACTCGTCTTGTGGTGCCCAGATTTTGGTACTCGGGATTATTACAAATGCCAAACAAACTTATTTTTTCGAGAAAGGATATCAGCAGACATTGAAAAGCTGCCTAAGGAGAAAGGAAAATATGTTTAAATCATCTCATTTGATCCTCCTGGAATAGAATAGTTCAGTTGGAAGGGACCTACAGCGAGCATCTAATACAACTGCTTTTATAAAAACTGAGAGAATCTGTCAGCTTGGAAATCGTGGGTTTGTCTTCAAAAGTCCCTGTTCCCTGCGGCTGTTTCCGAGCCGCCTGGGTTCAGGGTCTCTGGTAACAGTGGTTTGTTCTTTCCCTTGTTTTCAGAGCCTATTATTAAACCTGTGAAAACCAAAAAATTCTCCCTGATGGAACAGACGTTACCGGTCACTGTCTATGAGATGGAGTAAGTAGTATGGAGGGGTTTTCAGATGGCTCAAGCCATCTGCGCTGTGATTTCCTCACTTTTTATTGTTTGCGGGCAAAGATGGGGGTCAGAGTGGTGTGTGCTGTGTGGGGGAGGCAGATTTCGGGGGGTGTCGGCTTTGCTTCTTACTGACACCAGCAACAGAACTGAGTGCAGCTGGTTCCCAGGTTTTGAACCAAAAAGAAGAGGGAGAAAGTACAAGTCTAACCATTTTACGGATATTTTTGCACCATAGTATGCAGCATAGTTTCCTGAAATAAAATGTGAATCTTGGTCAGCAGCTGTATAAACTCGGTGGTCAGAGACCCTCGTGGTGTGGATTTGCTGAAGGCAAGTTTCCTTGACTGGCTCAAGAAACGTTTATCCAGTCAGGGCATGGCATGCCTCATAGTGGGACATGCTGGGTTCATCCCAGTAACCATCAGCCTACTGCTGGCTCAGATGAGTCCCATCTATCCTGGAGGAGTTTCCAGGGGGAATTTTTCTGCCACCGGTTGTGTGCAAAGTTGTGTCACAGGACAGCAGAATGCTGCAGCAAAGCTGCGCGTCTGGCGCTTAATGGTGTCGGCTGGTTGTGTCCCCAAAACAGCCCCTGGGACACCAGGGCTGAGAAAAAACCCTAAAAAAACCCTAAAACAAATCTAAACAAATTTAAAATCTGAAATACATTGTCTCACGCATGGTAAGGCATAAAAACAGTTGTGTACTTTCTCTATTAAAAGTATGTCCTCTTAGCATCAACGTCGGCATGTTGCTGGGCGCGGGGGCTCTGCATCCCCGCGTGTGTAGCATCTCTGTGTGGTGTTTTCTGTTTGAGGATGAACAGATTGAGCTGTGTGAGCGTCTTGTTAGGCTCCTCTTTCCATCCGCCACTTCACAGCTAGTCAGAGCTTTTCCCAATTTTTAATAGTCGTCTTCAAGTGTAGATCCCAGACCCAGATGGAGGCTGAGTAGCAGCTCCCTGGGTGCCAATGGGGGCGGTTCCTCTGCGGATCGTCAGAGGCACTGCTCACAGCGTCCTGTTATTTCCAGCAACAAAATTTCACTGGAGTTTTTATCCAGTCAGTTGGTTACGTGGATGCCCAGGATCTTTTTGGAGTGGCTGCTGCTCTGCAGGAGAGCTGGGGGGGCTCTGGATCAGGGGGTGCAGGGACAGGCCAAGGGGTGAGGGTTTGAAGCTGGAAGAGGGGAGATGGAGATGAGATGTGAGGAAGAAATGTTTTCCTGTGCGGGGGGTGAGGCAGTGGCCCAGGGTGCCCAGAGAAGCTGTGGATGCCCCATCCCTGGAGGGGTTCAAGGCCAGGCTGGATGAGGCTTTGGGCAACCTGGGCTGGTGGGAGGTGTCCCTGCCCATGGCAGGGGGTGGCACTGGGTGGGCTTTAACGTCCCTTCCCACCCAAACCCTTCTGGGATTCTATGAACTCAGCAGAGTCTTGGGTGTTATTTTCCTAAGCTGTCCATTTTGCTTGTAGCCAACGACCCGTACTCTTCATTATCCACCGCTTTCCTCATCCCTGCGTCCTCTGCTCGTTTGTCTGTAATGAATTCTTCTTTCTCCTGCTCATTGATACAAATGGGTAGGATGGGTCTGAGAGAAATTCCTTGTGGGATGGAGCCAGTAACCTGCAAGCTTGGTATTGATTTCCCATTTAGCCTTATTTTAAGACCCATAAGCAAACTTTTAATCAGTATTATTATTGATTTTTGCATTGTTTAGCTCTTAATCAAAATGTTGTACATTAAGAAGTCTACCCCATCAGTGCAAATTAAATCTTGTTAAAAAGGAGATTATTTGACAGCACTTCTTTCCTGCAGACCCGTAGCGGTGGGTCCGTGTTTTAGACCCTCCCGTTATTTTTCAGAAGAGTTGGTAATTTAGGATCTCAGTTATATTTTGCCCAGGCTCCGTGCAGAAGTGACCGACCCAAGATTACCCATCTCAACTGCTTATTCTATAAAGATTTGAATTTCAGTACTGTTTCCTGGAGTCCTTGGGAACATCACTGTTTTAAGACCTGAAAATCAGAATTAATGGTCTGTGGAGCCCCGTGGCTACCTTTTAAATCTGCGTGGGGTGCTTGATATCCAGCTCTGTGATTTACTTGACTGCCTGCCACTATTTGAGTGGAAGTATTTCATCATCTGCGTTCGTGGATGTGACTTTTGCTCTAATACTGACTAGAAAAGAAGAAAAATAGTCAATAATATTCCATCGCTGGCAGTTTTACCAACTCCGTATCCTCCCACCCACCGCCATCTGTCTAGGACTCCAACTCTCTCGTCCTCCCCATCTGGAAAGTGGGATTCTTCCTCCGCAGGGCATCGGCAGAATGAAAGTTTGGAGCGGATTCGGGGGGCACCTTGGATAGAACGCGGAGCTGAAATGGCACCTACTTTTCTTAGGCACAGCAGAAGCCTCCAACAGTCTTTTGTGTTTCGTTCCCGCAGTTTCCTGGCAGATCTGATGGACAACTCGGAGCTGATTCGAAATGTGACTCTGTGTGGGCACCTGCACCACGGCAAGGTAGCGCGAATATCCGCCACGTAGCGGGATGTAGTCGTGATCCGTGTGTCGCTTGCTTTTACCGCTGCTCTCGACCCCTCGCTCTCTGCAGCAGCCTCTTTCTGCTCCTCTTGCTAACGCCGTTATTTGGAGGTTTTCTTTCATCCACGGGGAAATAAATAATGTGCCCAACCTCGTGCTGCTGCTGGAGGGATGGGGTTGTCCTTGTGTTTGTCTGTTGGAACACAGTCACCTCCTTTCTCTCCTGGTCTGATGTTTTGCAGACGTGTTTTGTTGACTGCCTGATAGAACAGACGCACCCAGAAATCCGCAAACGCTACGACCAGGACGTGAGTGAGCTTTTGGCATATTCCTGCCCCGGGGAACACGGGTTGGGTTTTACACGTGGAGGGAGCATGGCCACGTGGGGAAATGGGGTTCAGTGATGAGAACGTAGGATTGGAAAGCCAGAGCTCAGTCCTGATTCTGTCTCTGTCACTTACGTGCCACTGTAACCGTGTGTAAAGAGTTCAAACTTAATGTTTGATACCAAATTATGACATCCTGACTTCTGTTTTCTCTTCACAGCTTTGCTACACTGATATATTGTTCACGGAGCAAGAGGTGAGTGAGTCCTGTAGCCTAGGCAGGGATTTATCCACTTGTCTCATGCTTCACTCACAGTTACTCACTGTTGGCAGTTTCCTTTTCTATTTTAACATCTTTTTGAGCCTTCCACATTTTGATTATTTTATTTATCAATAAAATGATCTGCTCCTCTTTGCCTCCGTAAGATCCCTGGCCCAGCTTCCTTCCATTTCCTGCAGCCCTCATCTCCACGTGTGATTTTATTTCTCTGAGATGATAACCTGCATGGTGCTGAAGATCCGCAGCAGAGTTATCCCAGCGCACGGATAACTCCTATTTCCTTTGAGAGAAAGAGGTGGAAGGGCTCACAGCAGCGATGGATGAGGAGAAAAACATGTCATTGTAAAATAAACTTATTCCTCCCGGGTTTCCGTTGATGGGAACTCTTAGCTGGGCGCTCTGACTCCGTGTGGTTGGGTGTGAATGCAAATCTGATTTTGTTATTCGCTGAATATTGTCGTGACCAGAACAATCCCAGGAAGCATTTCTTTCTCTGCCTCCTAATGCTCTGCTTCATGCTGTGGGTGAGCAAATCTTATGCTTTGAGATATAACTTGATAGCAGAAAGCACAGAAAACACAGATCTCTTGTCCCTGGTGTTGCATATTACTCTTCCTCAGCTGAGATGGGGCGTGGGCTGCGCAGCGGTGGCACACCAGTCTGCACCAGTATGGAGCTGGGCTGGGTACTGAGGCAATCTGAGGTTGTTCCTCCCTCCCTGGGAGTCACAGGATGGCCTGGATGGATGTTTACTTCTTTCCATCCTTCTGATTTCTCTTTGGTCAGCTTTTCCATCTTTACATGGTGATGTATTGTGGTTTGTTCTCTTTTAACGGATAATCCCGGTTTCCTGTCTTGCAGAGGGGAGTGGGGATCAAGAGCACACCAGTGACTATTGTTCTACCGGACACCAAAGGAAAATCTTTTCTCTTCAACATCATCGACACTCCAGGTGATTGCTTAATCCTAACAGTTCTGGTTTGGGATGCACGTAGCCGAGGGCTGCTTGATGTGCGGAGCAGATCCGTGTGAACCAGGATTTCTCTCACTAATAAACCTTGTTGGTCCTCGGGGCAGTGCTATTGATGGGAGCAGAGCACTGAAAACACGTACTGATGGTTAATGAACGCCTTCAAAGAGCTTTGGTGTTGGATCGTGGTGGGGTTGTGTAGCATCGGCTCTCAGGAAAAACAAAGAAAGAATCTATACCCTGAAACCTCGCTGATTCCTCGGGAAATCTCACTTGGGTGCAGTGAAACCCTGGGAAGTTTGCAGACAGAAGCCCCTGCTGTATTTTGTGCGTTTTGTGGATGATTCCAGCCTGGTGCTGAGCCTTTAGCTGAGTGAATTCTTCTGAAATCACTTCCAGCAGTAATGACGGTGCTGCTGGCTTGTGTTTCTCATGAGCTGGTGTAACTGGGGGCTGATGGGGCTGCAGACATGTTTCACTCAAGCGTGCACACGTAGAACTGGATCTGCCAGGTCTGGCCGTGCATGGTGGGGACCGAGCTTTTCCCAAATGCTGCTGCCCCACAGCCAGACTCTCGGCAAGTTCCTTCGAGCCTCTGACAAACTCCTGCGGGGGAAAAATAATCACAGATCGACTTCTTGTAAGAAACCAAGGCCAAACTTTAGGAAAGAGGGTCCTGGGACACATCTGTTGAGTTACAGCGCAGGATGAGGGAGGTCAGAGCGCAGGAGGAGGCTGGAGGGAGAGGCATCTGTTGTTCTGTGATGAGATGCAATCTTCCTCCTTTTCCTGAAGTATTTGCACAGAGCTGCGAGAAAAACAGTACCAAATGTGAGGAATAGCGCCTGTTGAGTGAGTTGTTGTGTTTATTCTCAAAAAAATAGCCTTAAAGCTGAAGCGAAGCCCTCCATGGAGCTCTGGCAGCTGCTCCCGGGTCGCGTTCTGGGGACGAAGGCGGCTGCGTTCTGCCTCGCTGGGTACCAGTGACCGCAGCAGCAGGACAGCTCACCACCCTCTGCGCTGCTGGCGTGAGGGCTCACTCTGGTTCTAATCAGTGTTTTGTGGTTTTTTGAAGGTCATGTCAATTTTTCTGATGAGGTGACAGCTGGCCTTCGCATTTCGGATGGCGTCGTGCTTTTCATCGATGCGGCCGAGGGGGTGAGTGCCAGATTCTCCTGGGGGTTAACTTCCAAATCTCTGCTTCTGGAGTCTTTGATAGTCTGGGATGGGTTTGACTTTCTGGGGTGAAGGAGTTTTGGAGGACAGTTTGGGAAGCGAAGAGTGTTTTCCAGCCAAAACAGAGAGTCAAGCCTCAGGCTTCTGTGTCCAGGGCTGACTTGATGCGTGTGACCCATCGGCTGATTATCCAACGGGTTTGCATCTCCGTCCCCGTGAGACCTAAAATCGAGCAGGTTATTTATAGCAGAGATGTCCGAGGGGTAGGATTCAAGGAATTTGGTTGGGTTAGCACCTAAATTTCCGGAAGATCAGCTGATGGCTGGTGGCTGAGCATCGGCTTATCTCGAGCCTTGCAGCCCCATGTGGAAGGGTCGCTGCTTTGTCCGTCACGCCCTAGATAGCATTTCGTGAAGGGTTTTTGCTTGAGGTGTTTGTGCTCGTTATTCCCACAGGTGATGCTGAACACGGAGCGGCTGATCAAGCACGCGGTGCAGGAGAGGCTCGCCGTCACCGTGTGCATCAACAAGATAGACCGACTGATCCTGGAGCTGAAATTGCCCCCGACAGACGCTTATTACAAACTCCGACATATCGTAGACGAAGTGAATGGTCTGATCAGGTACGGGGGTTTGGGATGGGGCGTTGGTACCGTTTGCTGGCCCCATTCCATCACTTTTCTCTGCGAGCCCTGTGGATGCCTGAAGACTCATGAGTTTGCCTCTTGATGTGTTGAATCATAGGAAATGGGTCAGGAAGAACCATTGGAAATTCAGCCAAAATATTGAATTACACAGGAAGAGCCAATCCTACCTGCATTCTAACCAGCTTCATGGGATCAGCTCTTTTTCCCCCCCATTAAAAAGTGGGGAAAGTGGATGTGTGACCGGAGCGGGTTCCTTCTGTGCTCCCAAATACACTGAGATTGTCCAGGCTGCATCCCAGATGGTGGGCTGAGATGTCTCAAAGCTCCTGAACATTTGTTACGAAACTAATGGGAGCTCACAGTCCCAACCCCTAAACAGAGACCATGATGTTGCTGTGGTCAGATCTCCTTGCGAGACCCTGCTCGGAGACGGGAGGGACATCTTCTCTGGCTCCCCTGGTAGCAGTGCATCACTGGGAAGAAATGTTTTCCTGTGCGGGGGGTGAGGCAGGGGCCCAGGGTGCCCAGAGAAGCTGTGGATGCCCCATCCCTGGAGGGGTTCAAGGCCAGGCTGGATGAGGCTTTGGGCAACCTGGGCTGGTGGGAGGTGTCCCTGCCCATGGCAGGGGGTGGAACGAGATGGGCTTTGAGGTCTCTTCCAACCCAAACCATCCTGTGATTCCTGTGGGTTCTTCAGCACCAAGGTGATTTTTCTCAACATATTCTCCCTTCCAGTTGGTGTGAATTTGCACACGGGCTCACTTGCATGTGTCTCTGTTCAGTTTTTACTGGCATCAGGCAGCTCGGAGCAGGGTGATCTGTCTGTCTAGTGTGCTTTGGAACTCATTAAAACTTTCGGTTCAATTCTACCCCTACATTATTTGCCTTGTATTATCTTTTCCCTTGGTTGATCAATTTTGCTGCCATTTTTCAGGGGGAAAAAATCTACCTGATGAAAAGTACAAAGCACTTGTGCTGGTAACTTTTTAGTTTTAGGCCTTTAAATATTTTTTCCTTTGAAGTTTATAGTCATAAAATGATCCTGACCCTGAAATTCCGACGCAAGCCTGCCGTAGCCCCTTTTAAGCTGCTATTTGGCAACGCAGAATCCTTGCCTGTAACATACTGCTGTTTGGTGTGGGAAGTGGATTTAAGCGTCGTCTTTGGTTCATAACATTGATTTTACTTGATTTTTTTTTTTCTTGTCTCTAAAAACTGTCTCCTCTCAGCATGTATTCCACCGACGAGAACCTCGTTCTGTCTCCCCTTCTGGGCAACGTGTGTTTCTCCAGTTCGCAGTACAGCATCTGCTTCACGCTGGGATCTTTTGCAAAGATTTATGCAGACACATATGGTGAGGATTATCCAGAAGCCTTCTACACTTTCACATCTCATTTCCTAACCTTCTTTGTTGAAGATTTCTAAGCTGTTCAGCTTCGACTTTCCCTGCACATACACGGCCAGTTTATATATTTTGAATTTCTAGGAGTTGAGAGGGACTGCAGATCTGAACCCTGGGTGGTAAAAAACCAAAAATACAGTCCTAACTTGGTTTTATCTCTGTAATTTCTCCTGATAAATGTTCCTTAAGTCAGAAGCCAATATTTTATACATACCCTTAAGTGGAAAAAACAAAACCCGTCCTGCCATGGCAGCTGTAGGCGAGCGTCTGTGTTGCGCTTTGCCTCCGTATCCCAGCAGCTCAGGAGCGAAGTGGTTAAGTTCTGCCTTTTGCAAAAGTCTCCAGAGCCTGAGACTCAGCTGCAGCCGGGTGCAAGCTTGGCCCACAAGGTTTTGCACTCTTGCCCTTTTTCTTTTTTAAGAAACTGTCTTTTTCTGCCTTTGATTTAGTTTTCTGTTCCCTGGGTGCCCACTCCAGGCAATGTGCCGCTTGTAAAAGCGAGCCTTTTGCTTAGCTAGCCGGCTGCACGGCCGAGGTGTTTGAAGTCTGGCGCTGGGGAATTGGGGGTGGTCTGCAGAGCTGAGAGCGGAGGAGGAAGGGTGTTGGAACCCAGCGCTCGCAAAGAAGTCAGCCTGAGGGAGGGCGAAGCTGTGGAGGTCAGGGACGGATGTGTCAGGACTATTGCGCATCCCCATGAGTTTGGAGAAATAAATGAGCTCCCTGGGCGTCGCAGCGTTAACGCCGTGCCTGCTGGGATGATCCCCCTTCTTTGGCGGGCTGCTAAAGATGCAGGGACAGTCGGCAGGAGATGTCACCTGTGTGGGGCGGACATGAGCTGAATGGGGACTGGGATCCACGACGTGGGATTGTGGCCATCAGGGATTTTATGTGCAGCCACCACCCTTCAGCTACCATGAGTTATAGCAGTTTAACTGTCAAAACCGCAGCCACCATGAAATTTCTTATGCTCGCACATCTGCCCACAGCAAAAAACTTGTTTGGAAACTGCTGTAAATTATCACCGCTGTCTTATTATTTGTAAATCTACCGTGACAGCCAAGCACTACAATATTCCTTCGGCGCTTGGGTATCTGGCCGTGCGCTTAGCGCATCAGCTGAAAAAGAGAAAAGAACCTGGAGATGTTCAGCAAGGCAGAAAATGAGCGAGACGCCTGCGGGCAGGTGGGGTGTAAGCCATCCCAGCACCTTGGCTCTGCACTGTCAGGCTGCAGCGGCGCCGTTAGGAAAATGAAGCAGATGTAACGGGGCTCCTGCCACGCGGCGGCTGGCGGGCCAGCGCTTCTCGGCTCTAACCTTGTGTGTGATTGAGGGGGTTGGAATGTGCCTGAGAAGGATGTGTGTGACCCTGCGGTGTACTGGGCTGCTGGTGTCGTCCTCGTGGGCTGTTTTCTGCCTGCTCTCCCCAGGTCAGGGCTTGATCAGTTATTTAGAATTGGGACCAAGTGTTGGCTCACCAGCATCGGTCCATGAAGTTGAATCCTCAGGGTTGTTTTAAAAGCCAAACCCCAAAGATTTCCAAGATGGGAGAAATGCAATGTCATCTGACTTTTGTCATTTGCTTTTTCCCTTTAGGAGACATCAATTACCAGGAGTTTGCAAAGCGCCTTTGGGGCGACATCTACTTCAACCCGAAGACGTAAGCAGCCTGTTTAAATCTCCATTAATTTATTGCTGTTTTTTCCCTCCTTTCTCTGTAAAACGTGGACTAGATAACCACCCAAGGTCCCTTCCAACCTGAGCTGTCCTGTGCTGGAGCAGTATCTGGGAAGGGTTGAGCCAGGCCTCCTGCTTGCCGTGGGTCCGTGTTGTCCTCCTGAATCCCGTGGGCAGGAGCAGAGACTCTTCTGGCCTTGGTTTGGAGTGAGCATGACTCCTGTGTCCATGACGGCTTCCCAGGGGGACTGGGAGAGAGGGGATGAGCTGGGAAGAACAGAGGTTGTGCTTGCAGCAGGGGTGCTTACAGGCTGCGGAGCGTGTGCTCCTCGTGACTCTCCTTTTGTCCCCCAACAGCCGCAAGTTCACTAAAAAGGCCCCAACGAGCAGTTCCCAGCGCAGCTTCGTGGAGTTCATCCTGGAGCCCCTCTACAAGATCTTGGCTCAGGTATGTCATGGGCCGTTCTCCTTCCTGCGATTCCAGATTGGAGCAGCCGGGGGCTGAGCGAGTGTGTTGATGCCTGTGGGACTCTCCCGTCCTTTTATGCAGCGGGATCTTCACAGATTTCTGGGTTTAGGGGTGCAGAGCAATGGCAAACAACTCCTCAACAGTTGCTCCGTGCAAATATATCCGTATGTATGGTTCATAGAACTGCCTTTGCTCTTTCTAGCGTGCTCTGATATCAGCCAAGTGATAGTTCGAACCAGCCCGTTCTCGTGTGAGCCCTAAGCCAGAGCAGGTCAAGAGGGTGGGAGCTGGCGTGCGAAGCTGCACTGGGGAGTTACCGGCTTGGACCCCGCAGCAGAGCTGAGAGCGGTGCGTGTTGTCTTGCAGGTGGTGGGGGACGTGGACACGACCCTGCCCAGGACTCTGGATGAACTTGGCATCCACTTGACCAAAGAGGAATTGAAATTGAACATTCGGCCCCTCCTGCGGCTCGTCTGCAAGAAGTTCTTTGGGGAATTCACAGGTTTGTCTTCTCCTCCGCAGCCTGCCGATAGTTTAGTCTCATGTGGGCTAAGTTAAGGGCTGTGTTACAGCACAAATCCCTTCTCAGCTTTGCTTTTCCAAATCCAAAATACTCAACCATTTGCCCAAAGGACACCTTGAGACACCACTCACCCCTTGCCCGCTGCTGTGGGTGCTCCGCAGTCAGCATGGCTTTGCCTTGTGTTCACTGGGGTCCATTTCTTTCCCCTGCACTGTTTTATCCCGTTCTCACAAAGTTTGGCTTTTCCAGGCTTTGTGGACATGTGTGTGCAGCACATCCCCTCCCCGAAGGTGGGAGCCAAGATGAAAATCGAACATACCTACACCGGTGGTGTCGACTCAGATCTCGGGGAGGCCATGAGCGAATGCGACCCTGACGTAAGGAAACTCTTCTGCTTTGCTCCGAGTGTCCAGAAGCGTTGCAAATCTGCCCTCCTTCCGCTGCCTCGACAGGGCAGCTGCCTCCGAGACAGCCATCTGCACAGATTTGACTTCCAGCATTCTGAAACCTCTCATCCGATACTGAACCAAATCTCTTCCCTCTGAGAAACTTTAGCTGCCTGCCAGGGCAGCCCTTGAGAGGGAGAATTGTTTGACAGTGTGCAGAGAAGAACAGGGCTAGGTCAGGACTTCAGAGCGTGTGGGAACCGCAGGGTGATTTTTGTGTCCTTTTGCTGCCTTTTTGTCCCTTTTCTGTGAAGTTTGATTCTCTCTCTCCAAACTCTGAGAAAACTGAGCTGAACTGTGCTGATAAAAATAACCCTGCAGTAGTTAGTCAGCACCTCTCGTATCAAAGCCTTGCAAAAACCTTCCTCCTCAAACAGCTTGTACCGAGCTGTCGTTCAGACTTGTCTGGAGCCACCAACGCCAGCCGGCAGCTTGGGAGGAATTTGCCCGTGACTTTTGCTCTAATGTGCGGAGAGAAAATGAATCGCTTCTTTAATGAGTTGTGATTATGCGCATCAGACTGTACAGTGGTGACTGTCACCAGATCACCACTTGGGGGGTGAACTCACAGGACTGGAAGCTGCGATCTGTGCAGGCTTGGGTGCTCTGCCCTGAGCTGGTTTGCGGGCCAGCAGGTGACATTTCTTCTCATGTCCTTGTCCCAACTGCTGTTCACTGCTCCCCAAGAGGGGGAAGGAGAGCTCCAACAAAGTCCATCAGAGTCGTTCCAGGGGTCTGCATACAGGGCAAGGAGGTGTGAGGCTTTCAGTGGAAGGAAATGAAGGACTTGGCAAGACAAAAGAAGTATTTCTAAATTCCAGCCCATTAATCCCTTTGTGTCTTCCAGGTCTGTGTCTGTTTCTTTACTATATTTTGAAAGAGGCTTATTTCTCTCTCTGTCTCTCCTGGAAAGGGTCCGCTGATGTGTCACACGACAAAAATGTACAGCACAGATGACGGCGTTCAGTTCCATGCCTTTGGCAGAGTGCTCAGCGGTACCATCCACGCTGGGCAGCCTGTGAAGGTCCTGGGAGAAAACTACACCCTGGAGGATGAGGAGGATTCCCAGATCTGTACCGTTGGACGCCTCTGGATCTCAGTTGCGAGGTACGGAAAGCTCTGGCAATATGTTCATGTGGGAGAGGAGTCACCTCAAGCTGTTGCCACCAGGGACAGGGAGGAGGACAGCGCTGCGAGGGGACTGAGGCTGGGTCGTGGTTTTGACCTGGGCTGGGAGACAAAAATACAGCAGCCGCTCACTCACCCTACTCCCAGTGATGGGGAGAGAATTAAAGGCGTGAAGGGAAAAGAGATGCATGGGGTGAGATAAGAACAATTTAATAACTAAACTACAATAATATTTGAAATCATAATAATGATAATAATAATAGTGATATATACAAATTAGTGACACATGGTGACACTGCTCACCACCCCATGGCCAAGGCTCAGCCCGTTCCTGGACAATAATCCCAGAGCAGGGAGAGTCCTGAAACCACAATCCCAGAACAGAGATAAGAGCCCGAGTGTCCAAGAGCTGACTGAGGGAGGGAGACGGGGCTGGCAGAGGGACCACCCAGAGTGGGATGACCCGAAAAAAGCCTCACCTCTCCCCTGGCCATGCCGGGCATGGGATGGAACAGACCATCGGCCAGTTTGGGTCTCAGCCCTAAACCTGAGGTGGAATCCTGGGCTGGTCACTGGGGCTGTGCTCCCTCCCAGCTCCTCCTGCCCCTGCAGACACGGGCACAGCAGAGAAGCTGGAAAGTCCTTGAGTGTCCTGGCAGCAGCTCTGCCCATCAGTGTGTGATCAGCTTCTCCTCAGCACAAACCCAACCAGCCTCTCCTGGCTGCTGGGAAGAGGGGTCACTCTGTCCCGGCTGACACCAGGCCAGGCTGGCAGCAGCGACGGCTGCAGTGACGCTCCCTCTGCCTTTAGGTACCACATTGAGGTGAACCGGGTCCCTGCTGGCAACTGGGTGCTGATCGAAGGTGTGGACCAGCCCATAGTGAAGACTGCGACCGTGACGGAGCCGCGGGGCAATGAGGAGGTACTGTGCCTTTCGCTCGGCCGTGCAGAGAGTGAAGGTGATGGAGCGCATCCCAAGAGCTCCGATGGTGGGGTTAAAGGAACCGTGTCCGCCGAGGAGCCAGGGCACAAGAGCCACTACGGGGGACGGAACAGCTTCGAATGCCACATGCAACTCCAGTGGCCAAGCAGAGATTCAGCCCTTTGTCCTGATCTCATTTCAGGCTCAGATCTTCCGGCCTTTGAAGTTCAACACCACATCTGTTATCAAAATAGCCGTAGAGCCCGTCAACCCTTCAGAGCTCCCCAAAATGTTAGATGGTCTCCGCAAAGTCAACAAGAGCTACCCCTCGCTGACTACGAAGGTATTTCTGGTGGCTGTTTTCAGCTCATGCTGCAGGCTGCCTTGTAGCCTGATCTTAAATATTTCTTTACTGGGGGTTGTTTTCTTTGTTATGGGTTTGGTTTTTTTTTTCATGCTGTTGCAGTTGATCTCATAAATCATGTGGAAATAAGAGGAAACTGTAAATCCAGCAGAAAAACACACACTTTGCTGTGCCGGGGAAGCAGCTTTCTGCAGAGCACGTCAGCACTTTCTGCTAGAAAAGGCTGCGGGAGCTTTCCTTTGGGTGCTCTGATCCTCCCCGATTTATGGAAAGCTGATACTCAGTCTTGTGTAGGAGCCTGGAAGGCAAGGGCTGCGAGCAGTAGTGCCGTTGGTTGAATCTCTCTCTTATTTTTCAGGTGGAAGAGTCTGGGGAGCACGTGATCCTGGGAACGGGGGAGCTCTACCTGGATTGCGTGATGCATGATCTGCGGAAGATGTATTCGGAGATTGATATCAAGGTGGGGAAATGACAGAGGGGCGTTCCCAGCTGGGGAGGGGGGTTTGTCCCCCTGTATCAGAAGAATAAGAAAATAAACCTAGCGGAATGTAGAGCGTGGATTTTGTCAGGTCCTTTTAAAAGGAAAAAAAGAAAAGTAACTCTTTACAGCCTGACAGTCATGACATTGTGACTGAGAGCCTGAAATTTGGCTTGGAGAGGGGTGTGGGACCATGTTTCAGCCTCTTACTTCAGCCATTGCCTGGCTAGCATCAAATAAATACATTGAGCAGGTTTTTTTCATACCTGGAATTAGATTTAAATGTTCCTGCCTTGTTTGAATGAAGGAATTAGTGAAGCTGCCTGTGTGGGCCTCGGTGGGGCGTACGCAATGGGATTAAAACACTGGTGATGAACCAGCTTTTCCTTGTAGGTGTCCAAAGGTTTCAAACAGTCTAAAAGCAAAAAGGTTCTGGAGAACCTTCCAAACCTGTTGTCGTTATTCCAGGTCGCCGATCCGGTGGTGACATTCTGTGAGACAGTGGTGGAAACGTCCTCGCTGAAGTGCTTTGCTGAGACACCCAACAAGAAGTAAGAGCCCGTGGGTGAGCGGGGCGTTGGAGGGATTCGCTGGATTTCATCCCTTCCCGGGGCTGTGTTCTCGGTGGCTGCTGTCCAGATGACCTGAGCCGGCAGTGTGCCGCTGCAGCAGCTCTGCTGAACTCCGCAGCAGCACACTTGAGTCCCGGGGATGGTTCTGTGTGTTGTAGGAGCTCTCAGAATGGAGGGAATAAAGCCAGATCCACATTCTCCTCTCTTTTAGCTAAATTTCACACCTCAGCAGTTTTAGGGGGTGTTCTGGGATCCTCAAGCTGGTGCCAGAAAGCCCAGTGCTGCCTGCTGGAACTCCCCAAATGTTTCATGAGCAAACCTTTATCTTCTCTTATCCATTCTTAATCTTGAAATGGATTTTTTCCTTCCTGGTGATGCAGTGGAGCTTTACAGCCTGGTCTCGCCTTCCTCCCCCAACCATCCATTGGGAGATGCACGTGTTTGGAACAGAGTCTGGATAACCAGGATGAAATCCAGGGGCACAGGACATATAAATGCCTGATTTTTCAGGGAGATCAGGACCTGTCATACGCTGAAGACAGCTTTCCTGCGTTCCCCCGTGGTTCTGGTTCTCCTTACCCTCCTGTATTCTGCCATACCCTCTCTGTGGTTGGCAGCCTTATTTTTGGGAACAGAAGGGTTCCAGTCTTGGGTCAGTTTTTGAAGGGTTGGGCACCCAGAGTGACCTGCTCCAGGGGCAGGTTCCTTGCGTTGGTGGGGTTCTCCAAGGCAACACCCCACGTGTGGGACACAGGGAGCGCTGGCTGTGATGGTGGCGTCTGGCCCGGCCCGTGGGCTTCCTTCTGCAGCCCGGACGAGCGCTGGATGTTTGGCAGGAGGGCTGTAGCCATGCTGTCCCTCAGCAGTCTGCTGCTGGAGATGAGCAGACTTCGGGGAGCCGTTGTTCAGCGCTTGGGCTGTCTTTACATGCGAGACAGTGACAGCAAGGGCTTCATCTCCCTGGCTGTGTTCGAGGCAGCACACGGTCCCCGAGGTCCTGCCAATTACTCCCGTTTCTGTCATTCTGGAGACTAATTGCAGCTGCCCCTTGTTTCAGGAACAAGATCACGATGATTGCCGAACCCCTGGAGAAGGGACTCGCAGAGGACATTGAAAATGAAGTGGTGCAGATAACGTGGAACAGGTATGGCCGAGCTGCGGAGAGCAGGAATCCTTCTCGAAGCAAATCATTGGGGAAAAAAAGGGAATACTGGGATCTGCAAGGTGCACGGTGCCAGCCTCTGGGCAGGGTTCTGGTTCCAGTGTTGGTACCAGTCCGTGAGCATCCCTCCCTGGCTTGCTCCAGGGAAAAAGCTGAAGCCACTTGATGCCTGAAGGGAACAGGGTCGTAAATATGTTGTGAGTGCAAGTCGGATACTTGTTTCCTAAAGTTTCTTCCCTTCTTCTTCTCTCAGAAAGAAGCTGGGTGAATTCTTCCAGACCAAGTACGACTGGGATTTGCTGGCTGCCCGTTCTATCTGGGCCTTTGGGCCGGACGCCACTGGCCCAAACATCCTGGTGGACGATACGCTGCCCTCAGAGGTGAGAAACGCAGGCAGGGGAGTTCCGTTCTGGTGAGACGTTTGTCCTGGGGTGCCAAGAGGTAACCGCTCCTTCCAGAGCCTGCAGCGAGGTCCTGATGCTGTTGGGGTGCTGTTGGTTTGCCGGATCTCAGCCCTGCTGGACTTTACCCACCACACTCCGACCCTGGCTAGGAAATCTCCTGTTATTTTTCAGGTGTTGCTGTTTGGGCCAGTGTCCTCAAAACTGGCAACTAATCAGCTTGCCTTTCAGGATTACCAAAATATGGACTTTTTCATTTATAACTGCAGATGCCAGACTCTGGAGATGATGCTGCTGAGCTGGGGGAGGGAGGGCTGGACATCGGGGGTGCAGGGGGACATTGCTGCTCTGCTAGGAGCTGCCTTTTAGACCCTGGCTTCTGTCTGGCACTGCCTTGTGCTGCCGGTTTGGTCTCTGAAGCTGGCTGTCTGTCTGTCTGCAGGTGGACAAGTCGCTGCTGGGCTCTGTGAAGGACAGCATTGTGCAGGGGTTTCAGTGGGGGACCCGGGAGGGACCCCTCTGCGATGAATGTAAGTAGGAGATGGGGAGCTGATAAAATCGATTAAATTCCTCCATCTTGAAGGATTCAAGTGATTTTCCTGGTGCAGTCCCTCAGCAGCCAGCATCCTTCTGACACCACGGCCGGGGACAGCTCTGGGGATGGGGGACAAGGGAGATAACAGAACCTCCCCCTTTTTCCTGGCTGCAGATGTCACCCAGGCGCTGGTGCTTGTCGTCTGCATACACCTGGTTTGTGTTTGATGTGAAGGATTAGGACATGGTCACACTTTCCCTGCTGGAAATAAATTCAGGAGA